TGCACTTGCTGCCTGTCCTGAGCTGAGGCTTTCTGGCTCCAGGGCCGTCAGCTGGGTCTTGTCACAGCCCCACCTTCATAGCTCTTCTCCCTGGGCACGTTCCTCTTTCCGGTGGTATCAGACTCAGGCTTCCCAGCTCAATCAAATGAAATTTCGAGCCCCACCCCACGTGCCTGCCAGCCGGCAAGCTGGGAGGCAGAATCCGGCAGCAGCTTCCACACAAAACGCAGCCCCTGCGGCCTCTCGGATCTGTTCAGCGTCTGAGTAGCAGTTGGCAATTCATAACCCGTCCCTCGCCCCGCCCTGCTCTGAGCTTCACCGTAGCTTGGCTCCTGCTAACGCGCCCGCGCCTTTCTGGAGCCGTGCGCGTGCACGGCCCCCTCCGTTCTTTAGGCGTCTGAGGGTCTGCTGGGCTGCTTAGAGACCACGTGCTGTTCGTTCTGCGGGGACGTCTGTGGGGTGCTCCACTGTAAGACAGCCCAGCTCTGGGCGAAAGGCCCTGTGCTAGGGCCTGCCAGCGAGCCCCGCACAGACTGACAGGGCCTGAGCAGCAGGGTGTCGACCGGAGCTCTCCAGAGCTTTCTCCTGCCGTTTGCAAAGCGGAGTTTGCCGTCACCCCGGGTGGAACTGGAGCAGGACTCTGGCTCCTGTAAAAGGTGCATCGTTTCAGAATCCTCCCCTCTGCTTGGATCTAGTTTAAACTGCAACAGCCCTTCCTCCTTCGCGGATGCCAGCTGCATGGGGACAGTCCAGCCTAATGAATATAAGCTCTGCTCCTGTTGCAGGAGACACTCCGCCGCTCCCATCGATATCGCCGGCGGGTGGGTGGGCTACGTGTTCCTCGCTTGTGTCTGATGCCCCCCCTCTCTCTGCAGGTGGTGATGGCCCCTCACGAGCCCCCCATCGTGTTTGTGGACAATTACATCAAACTCCTCGCTGACTGCAGCACCGACACTTTCCAGAAGATTTTAGACATGAAGGTTAGAACCTGCCCAGCCGAATTCCCGGCCCTGTAATCTAGTCCCTCTCCGGAGAAGCCTGACTGCCCTGGCAAGCAGCCGTCTGCGTGGGGCTTGTGATGCAGGACAAGGCAATTGGCGGGACAGAGGCTGCCTCCTGCTCTGGGGGCTGCTGGTGCTTAATGGCGCTTTGCACGCTGATTGGGGAGCGCAGGCTCAGCCTGCCTTCGCCCGGAACTGTGGGGTGGCTGTCTCCGGCTCTTTCCGGGGGGAGGCTGAGATTTGAACCTGGATCTCCCGTAGCTCTCTTCCGTCAGCCCCTGCCCCCGGCAGCGACGCTCTCCCTGTGTTTTGTGATCCCACTTCCCTTTGTTTCTCAACAGGGCCTCAAGAGAAGCGAGCAAAGCAGCATGTTGGAGCTGTTCCGCCAAAGGCTGCCCGCCCCTCCCTCGGGGGTGGAGAGCACCAGCTCCGTCTCCCTGGCGGCTCCCACGCCCGAGCAGGAGTCCTCGCGCATACGGAAACTGGAGAAGCTCATCAAAAAGAGACTGTAGCAACCTCTGCTGCCCCCCCAGTCCCTTAGGCCAGGTCTTGTGCAGGCTCCCCATTAGCCTACCCTAGGTCACCGAACAAGCGCTGCCGGACACGCACTGGCTTGCTCTAATGGCAAAGCAGCCTGATTTTGGCAAGGGACGAGTGTGTCTCCGAGAGAGATTAGCCGAGTGAGACCCGTCTCACTGGGGCTTCTCCGAGCTCGTGGCTCGGAGGGGGTGCAGTGACTCGGGCTGTGGGCTAGGAAAATGGTTTGACTGGGTTACACCCAAGGGTCGCCTGCTGCTTCCATGATGCTGCTCACTCAGCATCTAGCTGCAGTTCCCCTTTGGGCTCCCTGGGCAGCATGCAGGACTGTCCCCTGGAAGGGACAAGACGCCATGTCCTCCCCATCATGGAGTGTCTTGCCCCAGGACTCCAACGAGCTCCTTGGAAATGCCCCAGACAGGACCCTGCAGCATCTCTCCTGTGTGCCGAGGACAGGAGTGTGGGCTGTAGCTGTCAGTAAACCCGAGCTGCAGTTCCCCTTTGGGCTCCCTGGGCAGCATGCAGGACTGTCCCCTGGAAGGGACAAGACGCCATGTCCTCCCCATCATGGAGTGTCTTGCCCCAGGACTCCAACGAGCTCCTTGGAAATGCCCCAGACAGGACCCTGCAGCATCTCTCCTGTGTGCCGAGGACAGGAGTGTGGGCTGTAGCTGTCAGTAAACCCGCTGGCGCACCCTCTGTGGGAAGCAGGCAGGGGCGAGATCGCTGCATTCTGCACCTCGGCAAGGCGCTGGCGAAATCGCACCTTCCTGCCGGCCGGCAGCCTCTGGGCCAAACGCCACATCTGCTGCAGCCATCGCCAGCCTCTCCTTATTTTCTCACGTGCGCGAGGCTCCCCCGCCCCCGCCACCCAACACTACCCCCCTCTCCCTCCTCCACAAAGGGCTGTTTATGGAACAAGCCCTTGGAAGCCAAGCATTGAATGAGACCCTCCCACCAGGCTCGTGGCTGCCTGTTTCGTGCCAGCTGGAGGCCAGAAATGTGGGTGTGCCCCTTTGGCACAGCCGCGGCCTGCAGGCAGCGCCACTGGAAATGTTAGTTTTAATTACAGGCCTGCTGCTGCCAGGATTTCGTTGCAGGATGGAACTCTCGCCAGCCCTGAGTGGAAAGGGCCTCGTTCCCCACTCGCTGATGCGGCTGCAGCTTGGAAGGAGCCGCTCCGGATTGGCACCGGCTAGCCGGGCCCACACTCTCACAACACAGCTTGTTGTGAAGTAAGCCCCGTTGGAGTCAGCAGCAAGACGCTTGTTGACTTCAGTGGGCGCAGGAGCTGGGGCGAGGGGGTCTAATTGCCAAGAACTTGTTTGTAAAGTGCTGGTTGTGGTACACGCTTGCCTGAGAAGCCTTCATTTAGTGCCACAATCACTTCATTGTTGTCATCACTGGATTTCTTCCCACCCCACCCCCCATCCTGCCTCATAACCTCTCCAGAGTCAGATCCGTCGGTGATACAAGGCCACAGGGATTTTGGTGGCTGGAGAATTCATGTGCAACTTCTTTACTGTAATCCCTGCTTCCCTGCTCCTTCTGCAGGAGGTCTGTGCGTGCAGTTTGTGTCAGGTGAGGCGTCACTGCAGCAGGCTAGCGATCATCGCGGGAGAATCCACGGCACATCTGGCTCGCTTTTCATGGTTGTATTTATTCGGGGGCAGCTGGAGATGCAGGTTTGGTAGTGTTTGCAGCCACTGTTGAGGGATATGTAGCGCACATGAGACAGGAGGGAGAGGGATCAAATCCACATTTATTTTAACCAAACTCATCATATGCAAAATCTGTGTATAAAATTAAAAAGGCTGCAAAGTTTGAGACACTCTGGGGTGGGGGAGGGGCTGCTACGGCTGAAAATCTGCCCTGACGCTATCTTCACATTCACCTTTTGGCCCTGTTCTGCCCCCTGCTCTCTCCTGTGTGCAGTAATTGACCCTTTCTTCAGCGTCTGTCCTGATATGGGGTTTCCCTAGGATCTCATCCCTGGGTTATCCGGTAGTAGCCAGTGTCTGGGTGGACGTCCTGTTGCAAGCGGAATAGAGATGTGTTAAAAGCTAGAGGTAACGAGCCAACCTGGAAACAAAACACCCATCTCTGGTCTTAGAGCTGCACCCACTTCCGGTCAAATATCTGATAACGGCTGTAATACATGCCACATCCTGCACTACCGGGTCTCCTTTACTAGTCGCTCCTTTGCTGGGCTGTACATGAGGATAACTATTCAGGGTACTGAGCAATTAACACACCCCTGTTCCTCCGCGAGAGGCCTTTATTGGTGTCTACGTCTTGAACGAGTCAAATATTCATTCTCCATCCCTTTGCCCTACGTTGCTCGTGTCCAGCCTGGGGGAAGGGAAGTGGCAGAAGTGCCAGCTCCTCCATAGCTAACTCATTCCCCACATTCGGTGTCTGGGGGGACCCTGTTCCTGTTGTAGGTTGTTAAAGGTGGAATCCGATGTGGATGCTTTGGAAAAGGTTCCATGACGTTCCTTCACTTCCTTGGTGCATCCCAGGGCGTCGCTCTCGTCTGATCGGATGCCAGCTTTGACTGAGAAGTTACATTGGCAAATGAGCTACGACGCCTACGTTTGCTAAAGTCATTGGTGGTTTTGGGATTTCTGGCTGGAGACCCCTTTAGGGGGCCGGATTTTCAGAAGTTCGATGTTTAATGCTTTGGAAAAATCAGGCCCTGTTAAGGTGACTTGAGTCGAGCACCCAGTGGAGGCACCAGTGTTTTCCCTGATCAGCCCTGTGTGGGTGAGATTGTAGATTGTGCCTGGACACGTAAAGTGCAATGGTCCTTTTTTTCCAAGGCTGATAAATCAGCTTGGGTCCAAATAGTTCCTGAGCTGACAGAGGGATTGCATTAGAATTGGTTACTCAACACGCAGCCATTTGTATCTGACCAGGGCTCTTAAAATAAGAAGTGATGCTGATAGTTGAGATATTGTAAGACCTACGTTAACCTGGTCTGCCCCAGGAAATCTTCACAAAAAACTACCACTGAAACTGTCTCACATGGAGAGCTGGTGTTAGAAAGCTGGGAGCAGAGGCAGCTGAATATACACACCTACGGGGTCCTGAAACAGTGTTAGCAGTTGTGGATGTTTTGGTAACTTGGCTAAAAGGGGGTAGGGTAACAGTGTCCTATTCTAGCTTATCAGAAAGCTGTCATTGGATCACAGACTGTTTCTGACCCTTCTGCTAGTTTTAGAACCTGCATTTGCAGGGAGCGGTGTTTGCGCTTGATACAGATCAGTTTACAGAAGACTACGCAAGAAAAGAAGGTGTGTGTACTGCCTTTCCTGAAAAAAATCAGATCCAACGTGGGTTATTATTAATTACTACCAAATACAGTAGCCAAGCCCCATGGGAATGCAGGGCGCTTGCATAGATTCATTATCTACATGCTGGCCTAGTAACCTCACATTAGATTGATTTCCCCTCCCCCTCTCAATTTAAAAATTGGGTCCATGTTATAAATAGACTGTGTGTGGGTGAAATCTAAACTATTTCCTTATTTCTTTCCCCCAGAAGGCTCCTAAACTACTACTGTTTGCCACTTGGAATTCTAGGAGGAATGTTTGCAAAAATTAAAAAAAAAAATGGAAGAATGTTAGAAGCTCAGGTGCATTGAATTGTTCCCTATAACATTTTCTTGTTCTTGTGTATTTACCAGACTGGGTGCTTCTGAAAGCATGTGTGTCACATGGCTGAGTTGTACATTTTCTGAGGATAAAGGAATTGTGTTTCTGTATAAAACTTCTTTTTAAGTTTTCTGTCCAGGAAGTGATTTCTTGCTGTATATTGGAGTGTGACACTAAAACTAATTAAATCATTATTAACAACCTCCTCTAGCCTGTGTTCTGAAGCAATGTATATAGAAGAGACTGGATCTCGAGATGGGGACGCCCCGTCTCTTGGCTTTTGGGGGCAGGAAATCTGAAAGCTGCGAGTACACATGCCCAAACACACATCTGCACTGCCTAGAAGGCAGCTTTGGGCTGAGGGCATTTTGATTATAGAATAATTTTATGTCCCTATCTGTGTATCACCACCGAGCGTTACCTGATTGGTTTTAAAATCCTCTTGCATGCTGCTCAGGGTATAGTGTGACATGTACCGGCCTCATAAACTTTGACAATCCTTTTCTTCCCCTCCACAGACGGTTTTCCCCTCCTGTTAACTTTCCATCACCTTGCAGATGTCTGTGGCTCCAGCAAAGTGACCTTTTGCAGATAGCAATTTGTATTTGTAGTAGCACAACCAGGGGAATCTGCCCTGCCCGGCCATATGGGAGGCAGTCCTGGAAAGTTAAACTTGCGTTAGTCAATAATTCGATGATTTGTAACATCTCTACTGCTTACCTTGTGGAAAAGACTTCTCTGGAAACCTCCTGTTACATGTATTGATAATGAAGAGTTGGTGACTTTCAGAATACAGTAGATATTATTTTATATCTTTTGCTCTGAGAGTCAGTGGATCATTTCTCTTTCCAGTATGTTTCCCCGTGCCCCTTCCTCCATCAAGTGATCAGGTGTAAATGTGCATGGTGAGCTGCCTCTTGCACCACATTTGCAGTGATGAATATGACTAGCTGGGTTATATCACATGAGTCGTATTGTGTTTCTCCTGACTGCGGGTTGGGAGGGGTCACAGAGGTGTTACTGTCAACAGGCAATTTAAGACAGGTTGGTTCTTTAACATGCTGTACTTAAATTAGCTGAAATGTTTAATCTCCTGTTATGTCAAAAGTTGTTTGAACAAAACACATTCCTCAGTGTGTGAGTGTTACAGGTGGGGCTGGGAGCATCATCTGTTGGCTATTATTAAGGTTGCTAACACTTCCCATTATAAGACCCAGTTTTCAAGCTAAATATGAGTCAACCTTGTGACACTGTTGCCAAAAAAAAAGAGCAGGCAACGTTCTGGGATGTAGTAGCAGGAGTGTCGTGAGCTAGACATGAGAACTCATTCTTCCCCTCTACTCTGCGCTGATTAGGCCTTAGCTGGAGTACTGCGTCCAGTTCTGGGCACCGCATTTCAAGAAAGATGTGGAGAAATTGGTGAAGGTCCAAAGAAGAGCCACACAAATGATTAAAAGCTTAGAAAACATGATTTACGAGGAAAGACTGAAAGACCTGGGTTTGTTTAGTCTGCAAAAGATAAGATAGAGGGGACATGATAGCTTTCAAGTGTCTAAATAAATGGTTGTTACAACCAGAAGGAAGACATATTACTCTCCTTAACTGCTAATGATAGTACAAGGAGCAATGGGCTTACATTGCAGCAAGTGAGGTTTAGGTTGAACTGGCAGGGCGGTTAAGCACTAGAATAAATTGCATAGGGAGGTTGTGGAATCTCCATCACTGGAGATACTTAAGAGCAGGTTAGACAGACACCTGTTGGGGATGATCTAGAGCAGTGTTTCTCAACCTTTTTTTATAAAGTACCCCTTTAAAAAAAATGGTAAATACCCCCAGTACCTTCAGTTTTCAGACAATTTTTTTTTCTACCATTGCAACACATTTGTTTAAACAATCGTAGCCGGGTGAGCAGTGACATTTTTGGGTGTAAAAAGTACAAAAATAATAAAGCGCTGTAAAACTTAAAACAAAAGTTCAGTTTTCTCCAAATTTCAGTTGTTGACGTACCCCCCAGACTTCTCTCGAGTACCCCAAGGGTACTCATACCACTGGTTGAGAGACACTGATCTAGATGATGCTTGGTCCTGCATGAGGGCAGGGACTGGACTTGATGACCTCTTGAGGTTCCTTCCAGTTGTATTCCTTATACCATTGCCAAAGCCTGTCTCTTTGGGCTGAAAATTTCCATGCCAGGTGTGTGCCGCACCATTGCTCTGCTCTCAGCAAATGTTTATGAAAGCCATCAAGTGCCCTATATCTCTCAATGCTGTTCCAAATAGAGGATGACATCCTACAATTGCTAGTAGATCTGTGAGGTGGATCTAAAGGTTTTGATGTAATACTATATAGTGTGTTTCTCTTTCTTCAGTTGGCTTTTTTTAAAAATCTAGGAAGTTGCACACCAGAAAACAAAACATTTAAATAGCATTAATGTTGCAAAGTCAAACACTCAAAAGTTAGGAAATGTCAGGACTATTTTTTCCTCTGTGTAACCTTAATTCAGCACTGTGGTGTGCAGTATGATACAGTCTTCCATTACCTGATCACTTACTGTTTTTGCCCCAGACAATCTCAATTCTGGCATTTCCTAACTTTTGAGTGCTTGGCTTTGCAACCTTAACATTGTTTGTATGTAGTTGTATGTGCAATTGTTGTGTTGTGGTAGCCATTTGGCTTTTACACACTGCAGAACGTAAGCAGCAACCCTCCCCGTGTGTCTGTTTTCTAAGACAGGCTCTCCTGATGGCAGGTGGGGGGACCATGTTTCCTTGTTCCGTTGGCTGGTTTGTTACCTCATCAGGCTGCAAATAAGAAATTCTGCTTCTGTTGATTTAGTTCTGCCCAAACCACTCTGAAACCCGGATTTTCACGCAAACAGTGACCAACCATGAAACGGGCGAATCTGCTACTGCACGAGAGGACATGGACTGGTTCAAAATCGTTCTTTGTTTTGTCTTGTGTTGGGATGCTCTTACGCAGTGTCACCTCGTAGGCAGTGGTGGGCCACATGCAGCCCATTGCGGTTGCACGTGTGGCTCGCTAGGCTTTGTATTTACTGTTTCTCACATGTGGGGTTGCCAGATCCGCTGTTTTCCATCCGTGTAGTTCTCCTCCGACTGGTATTACGAAAGGGACATGTGCTTAAAGCCAGGACAGGTGACGTGAGGTGCACGCTGATTGCAAGCAACGTTGACTGTAAAGCCAGGCACTCCCTCTGCAGCCAATCACACTGGTGCTACTGTTCACTCGGCTCTCCCCGCAAATTCTAGGTACCCAAGCACAGTGAACAAAACTGCGCTATCCCAGGAGACCATCTTGATTATGACAGTCTTGCAACCCATCATGATGCAGGGTCACTTGTGCGGCCCACCCTCTCGCCCAGGTTGCCCATCGCTGTCTCAGGCGCTCAGCAGAAGGTTATGAATTTTGTGGGCTTGATAAAAGGGCTGCTTCCTCGGTTTCTTCAAGTGCCCCTTGAAGGATACAGTTAATAAAAGGAGTTGTACTTCTTATCGAGGGCAGGAAATACAGTAGTGAAACAGAAAATGCAGCAAACGTTTGTTAATTGTACCAAACCCTTTGCTTGTTTTCAGCTTTATTGTCAACAGAATTCACCGTTTCCTGCCTGCTGGTAATGCTTAGCCCTACAGGGCGCTTCACGGATGTTAACTGAGCCTCCCAGGTACCGGTCCGAGGTAGGTAAATGTTATGTCCATTTTACAGGTGGGGAAGCAGAGGTATAAAGATCTTGTGACCTGTTCAGAGCCACACAGCGAGTCAGCGTAACCACCAGGATTAGAATAGAGGAGTTCGTGGCTCCTGGCCCCAGGCTCGGATATCACTATGCCACGGTGCTTTCTTTATGTTGGTTATCAAGGGGCCACCGTAGGCAGCAAACAGAAGGGAACCCAGTGGGTTCTGTGAAGAACTAGATCCAATTGCTAAGAGGAAGAGTGAGCCACGTGCTAGAATCCCAGCTGCTGCCAGAAACTCTGGGTGGCAGAGGACTGCATCCTCCAGCAATGAGTTCAAAGTGTTGGCAAGGTGTGTCAGACGGATTTCTTCCTTTTGCAGCAGAGGGAACTGCTAGAAACTGATCAGGACTTCTAAGAACCCAAGTTACCTGCGGTTGATGTTCATAAATGCAGTCTGTATCCCAGGGGAACAAACGTGCACGGAGCACGTGTTAAATCACCTGCCTTGAGGTTTGACCGAGTGAGTGTCTAGCACGTTACGTTCTTGCAGCCCATGTTGGAGGTGGGAGAAGCCTGGAGGTTTCCCATTGTTTGGGAATGATTTTTCCATCATCATCAAACAACTCAGATTGTTCCTGGGTTGTTTTTCCCCCTTCTCATTTATTTCTGCTCTGGACCAACATCAGTGTAACTATTGTGTGAATACTGATTGAGCGCACAAAGCTGGGCCTGTGTGGAAAGGGTCCTGGTAAGTTACTTGTATCCTGGATCCATGGTGGCGTGAGGAAGCAAATGAGGTAGACAGACAAGCTGTGACTTACACTGTGGCAAAGGTTTTCAGAAGAGACTGATGATTTGGGTGCCTGCCTTGAGATGCCTTAAAGGGGCCAGGCTTTCGGGAGGGGCTGAGAATACGGGCTCCTCTTAGGGGTCTCTAGTCTCTTCTGAAAATTATATCCTTCCCGTCTTACATGGAGTCCCGGAGCATTTGGGACACGCAGTGGAACTGCGTACTGCACCCGAGGTCTCGCAAGGCTCTTCTCCTTGGTTGAAGTCGAACAGTAACTGGGTGCTGTATCCCATCAGCTCTCACGACTTCATCTCGGTGGGCGGGGTCAGCACTTGGAGGAGAACCGTTCAAAGAAAACTAAGGCACTGGATGAAGGAAGGGGGAGGGGTTTACATGTGCTCTGAGTCTACCCTGAATCCAGACCCCCTATAACACGTTGGTGTCTTTCAGATGAGGGGTCAAATCTGGCGACTTGTGGGTTATTAAAGTTCCCTTGATGCTTTTTATAGGAGGGGTCTTAACTTCCATTGGCAGGGTTTGATGTTCTTTACCTTCTGTCCCATGTTGGTGCGTAACATTGGTGCACACTGTCAAACAGTTGCCACGTTTCAGTGGTAGGTGAATGGTCTCCCTATGCCCCTTTGAGACGTGTTCTGGGATCCTTCAGAGTAAAAGGTGCGATATAAACATGAGACTCTGGTTCCTGCTTTATCTCCGACTTAGCTCTTTGTGGAAGTATTGGCCTCCACTGAATGGACCCACGTTCTACATGAAATAAAGCCGACCTCTCTCGACCATTTCAGCAGGCTGTAAACTCCGATTTTTGATAGTGGAAATCCAGCTTCCTCTCACCCCCATTAAATGTTTCTAACTACATTATCGGCTGAGTGTCCTCTGATCTGAGCAGCTTGGCGGCAGCTCTGAAATAGTAATTGTGTTAGCTTGGAAATGGCTTCATGAGCCTTTTTCTCATTTCAAAAAGGGCTTTTGATGGGCGATTTGAAAGGAAAAGGTGATTTGCTGTCCTAGTGTTAGAGACACGAACATGTCCTGCTGAGGGTGTATTTAAAACAAAAGCAACAAAACACCTGTCCGGCACTTCAGCTTTGTCCCTGCTGATTTGAACCAGGTTTTGAATGTACTTTTTTAATGCACGTTTTTCAGGCAAGACCAGCAACCTAATCACATTTCTTCAAAGGAATGTAAATTCCTTAAGGAAGTAGCCGGAGTTCCCGGCAGTACTTAGCTGCAAACCACAGACGCCTCTGGCTGAAGGCTCTGTTCTGCTTTTAATTTGGGGTAGTAGAGGAATTCTTTTGAAGCGTTTGGGTTCTCTTGGGCCGGGCCTGTCAGGCTAGATTGTGTGTTACTGTACAGCAACGTGTTTGCTTTGGCTGCCAGCAAAGCTTTTCTTTCCCCCACAGGAGTCTTTCCCCCATTGAATCTGATGATGCGGCATGAGTATTTATTAAGGATTTTCTGAAGACCATTTCATTAGCCTTCCTAGCATGGCAGGAGTTTGGAGACCTTTCCCTCTAGTCCTTTGCCCCTTGCCACTCTCATCAACTCTGCCTCGGTAGCAATGGCCCTTCAGAAATCCAATTGATGGGACAAGTGCTATTTATAGGAGGCAAAATTGTAAGTGGAAGTTTGCCTTGGAAAGGACTGTGGCTTGCATGCAAAGTTGCATCACTGTAATCAAAAGATGCCTTTAAACTGAATTAGTGCTAGTTTGGTGTAGACTCTCACATCAGTTTGAACCTGGTTTATATTGACTTAGCCTGCACTTGTAGATGTAGAGGGGTAGGCTAAGCTGCTAGACAAAATATATGTAAGATAAGTAGAGCCCTGTGCGGATGCAAAATTGGCATCTGCAAAAATGATTTGTGGATATCTGCACAAATGATCTGTCAATATCTGCATCCCGTTCTATGCAGATATGAAACCAGTAGTTCTAGATTTGCAGGGCTCTAAACCTAATCTGATGCAAACCCCTGTGTGGGCATTCTTATTTAAATCATTTTAAAATAGCACCTTTAAGGCCTGGCCTACCCCTAAAACTTGGGTCGACCTCACTGCGTCACTCAGGGCTGTGAAATGTTCACACCGAGTCACCCAACTCCTGCTGTAAATGGAATAATTCCATCAGCCTTGCTACCTTGTCCCAGACAGGCAGATTAACGACAGTGAGAGAGAGAGAAAAAATCTGTCAATGTAGGAAATGTCTCGCGATTGGGCTACCGCAGCCCTGGAGCTGGGCTCCTGTAGTGTAGATACACCCAACGGTAAACCCGTGCAACGTCTGTGTGCAGACAAAGCCCTGTTGTGCCCTGATCCCACAAACCCTTAATGCATGTGCCCAACATCACACACGTGACCCCAGCAGCCTGAATAATGCACTCTGCTTTTAGACTCTGGGCACGTGTACTGCTGTCTACTCTGACTAAACCAGAGGGCCATTGCTGGGAACAGGAGAGGGCTTGGAGACTGCTGAAAATAAAGGAAATCATAATCCACTTAACTGCTTATACGACAAGGAGTCCTGTGGCACCTTATAGACTAACAGATGTATCGGAGCATAAGCTTTCGTGGGCAAAGACCCACTTCGTCAGATGCATGGAGTGGAAAGCTTACGCTCCAATACATGTTAGTCTACAAGGTGCCCCAGGACTCCTTGTTGCTTTTGTGGATCCAGCCTAACACAGCTACTCCCCTGATACTTAACTGCTTATAAACACTCCCACCACCCCCAACTGCAATATGTAGCCAGAGCGGCAGTTCTAGCTGCATCGTCCCCTTCCCCTCCTAAGCAGAGACAAGTGGGAGCTTCGAAATCTCTGACTTGGGCTATTACCCTGCAGTCAGTTTGGTGAACGGTGGCTGCTTAGAACGTCCCCGTGTGCTAGGGCATGAGAACAACAAACCCAGCTGGGGGGTTGCTGCTCAGAACGACCTGGGCTGGTGGTTTGTCACAGCTGGAACATGCCAGCTGCTCAGGGCCCTGTTTTTTCAAATTTCTGTTGTGGGTGCTGAGATTTTTCTCAAAGGTGAATGTCAACTGTTTAGAGCTGGAACCCCCCACTGGGCCTCTGTTTTATGATCTGCTCTGCATTTAAAAATGGGGTGACGCCACAGATAAATACCACCTTGGCAGTTCTAGTTCCTGCTTGCTTATGGTCTCTGTAAGTAGGCTGCTCCCCCGCAGTCACCGGATCTGAAATATATGGCCTAATGAGTGCCCGCCTGTTTGCTTTAATAACTAAACCCACTTCCAAGCTGTGATAAACCCATGGGTGTGACTTTGAACAGGGACAAGGTGGAAGGGTGTCACTCAGGTTTAGAAGTGTGACTCAGCCCTCTGTTGGGGGGTGCAGGATCTGCACCTAGGCCTGGTGCAACAGGAGTGGTTGTAAAATGAGAGGATGTGACGGTGGTGACAGCCAGCATAAATTATCCAGGGTGCTTGTGGCCAGTAGCAAACCACTGAGGTAGGGAGTGCTTGGCTGTCAGCATGCAGCTGCAGTGATGTGGGGGCCACCAGCCCCTTGGCTCCCTGCTTGGCCACTGGCAGAAAGCCCCTTTGTTTCCCCCTGATGTGTAACCCTCTGTGGTCCCGGTACTTTCCCGCAGGCAGGCAGAAAGGTTCGTGGGGAAGGCTGGGTAGGGCTGGTTGGCTGCTGTAGACAGGACCAGCCTTCCCTCTTACCCCTCTTCATAGCAAAAGCCAGGGCAGACTCAGGGAGCTGTACTGACAGGTAGCTGATCAGCCCAGGCTTCCCGCTTGCCCTCAATTTGCTCTCGCTCCCAGGCCAGCTCTCCCGAAGTACGGACGCGGGGAGACGCCCTCGGTGAAATCCCACTTCCAGTGAAGTCACAGGCAGCTGGGCCATTGATTTCACTCACTAAAGTCCTTGCCCCCTGAATCTCTGCCACTGGGAACCCCCCCCCCCCT